TATTACGAATTGTTCGTGTGTGCGTTTATTAAATGAGGAAAATTCCGAAAGACTCAACGATCCGACCAATGAAAAAATTTCTTTTTTTTTTTTTAAATGACGTCAAAACGACGTTGAAAATTTTATTTATTTATTTATTCATTCTGTTAAAATTCCGTTTTTCTTTTCATTTCAGGATACTAATCGATTTGACGATAAATGAAAAACCTGGAAAATAATAATAATAATAATCGATGCAAATGATATAACTGGAAAATTCAAATCAAATGAATCGTATTAAGATAATATTCGCCATTTTGTTCGCAACAGGTAAGAAGACAATTAAATATACTTTTTTTTTTTTTATAATCCTGGAGAAAAAAATTTTTTTTTTTACGATTCGAATCGTGGCTAAAAAAAAAAAAAATTTTTTATGTGGAAAATTTATTAAATGGAAAATGCTGGAAAAACAATGGATGATAATAATAATAATGATAAGAGTGGTGAAAGAGAGAAAGAGAAAGAGTGAGATAAAACGAATCGAGGGACGTTTATGTCAAAAGCTTAACAAATGATTGATTGTCTGATTTCACGGCGGGTTTTAAATGCGGATAATCAATGGGACCGACCGATTCCCTTGATTGTCGTGGAAGGAGTCAAATAAACTATAAATTTTTTTTAATATCGTACCTGATAAATAAAATAAAAAATTTTTTTACAAAAAAAAAACTTTAATAATAAATAATTTATTAACGTAATAAATAATTACGACAAAAAAAAAATGGACGACGATGATGACGAAGAGGACGATGATGAAGATGATGATGATAATAATAATAATAATAATAACAAAATGGAATTAATAGGGATTTCTTATAGTATCCATAAAATTTTATTAATGACATATTTTTTTTAAAAAAATTGTCCAATTATTTAATAGCATCCTCTCTCTCTCTTTCTTTCTCTTTCCCTTTCTGTCTCTCTCTTTCTTTCCTTCCCTCTCTCTTCCTCCCTCTCCCCCTCTCCTTTCTCTCTTTCTTTCTATATCTTTCTCTTTTTTTCTTTTTTTGTCTTTCTTGTTGTTTCTCTCTCTCTCTCTCTTTGTTTCCCCCTCTCTTTTTCTCTTTCTCTCTCTCCCTTCTTCTCTCTCTCTCTCTTCTCTTTCTCTCCATTAATAATTTTATCGATTTATTTTACTCCATAATATAGTAATAAATAAA